AGACGTCGGCCGACGGGGTCGATTGACCCCCGCGGCACCTGAGGCCCCTCGGCATCGAGCAGGGTGGGGTTAGGGCGGGGCGAGGGGAGCTGGCAACTGTCGGGGTGGTCCCAGTTCACCCCATCGAAAAAATCAGATCGTCGCTCCCTAAGGCGTTGCCGCCCCACGCAGGCGGTTTGTCGCCTAGGGCAGCAGCCCGCGCCTGCGCGCATCGGGGCGCAGGCGCCTCCGAGCTCGGCGATGCGCGCTGTCGTGTAGCCCGCGCATGAGGTAATCTCCTGAGGTGTGATATGTGATATCCACTCAGGCGTGCTCTCGCACGCGCCCGCGCCCACCTGCAAAACGCCGTTGGCGCGAGATACTGTCTACGTTGAGCGACGCCTGTACTCCGTGGCCCCAGGACCTGTTTGATGGGTTCAATACGCGCGCGCTTTCCCAGGGAGCCAGGCGCGCTCATGGCCAGCACGCGCTCATGAGACCTCTGAGTCGCCAGGTCATGGAGGTGCGACAACACCGAAGAGGAGGTGCAAACCAAAGAAATCTTACGCTTGCAATCGTCTTGAAACGTCAAAGCGGGGGTGGGCGCCCAACCGATATCATGGGATCTCATGTGCGTCCTCTGACGCGGGTGTCTCGGGCTGTTCCACGCGGTGGAGTCATCGAGACGAACCGCGCTCCACGCCTTTCATGAAGTTGCAAGAGGTGGTAGGATTAGTGACTGCCACCCGCGCGACAGCGGCCCACTGAAGCACGGGGGCGACAGCAGGTCCCCACGCGGGGTCTCCAACAATCGCAAGCTCAGCATGAAGGGGGCAAACTATGTGCCGGGGGGGAAGTTGTAAGCGAGTCAGACGCGCCAGGCCGCTCGAAGCCCGCTGAAACTAATCCGCCGAAGGCCGAGCAAGAAATGGCCGCCGGCACAAATCCGGCCGCGCAGATCCCGACCGCGCCTCTCTGAAAAGCACGGCGGCGGCGGCGCAGGTCCTTGAAGCGCTGCTGGCGCTTCCGCAGGGCGCGCCTGCAACCTCGCCGCCTACCTGCGGCCAGATCAGATCCAAGGGAAAATGCTAGTGCTGACATGTCCTGCAATCTTTCCAAGACGCTGGAGAGGTTTGTTGGTCGGGCCCCAGCTGCTAGCGAGCATGCGAATCTTGTCAGGGTGGGCGCCTGCCATGTGTTCATCGCGGAAAATGGTGAAGACGGCCGCTGCCGCGCTCGAAATCTATCAGATGCGCCGCTGTTGGCCACGCGGTCATCGTCGACGTGTGGCGATAGCCGGGCATCGGGGTGTCCCCGCGCAAATCGATCGTTCCCGCGCTACGCGCGCGCGAATGACCGTTGAATATGACGTCCGCAGTCGGCCCGCAACCAGCGAACAAGGAAATCAAACCTTACAGGGCCCAGTGTGGAGTGATCCCGGACCACGCCAGTAGCTGTAAGTAGTTTTTCACAATCGCACTGCTGATGCCATGCCCGAGCGCGCGTTGACGGAGGAGGCGGAGGCCGAAAGGCTCGCGATATTTCGCAGCATCCCGGATGAAGCCCCCAGCGACACTATCGTCGTGATGGGCAACTTCGGCCTGGACAGCCAGGTGCCACGCAGCGTATCGGCGCTGCGTCCTGGACCGAATGCCCCGTGCTTCCTCGGGCTGATGAGGTTGGAAGCAACGGCGTAAGCTCTTCTTTTTCTTTCCCAGACTCAGACGGGGCCCGCGCGGCGGAGGATGGGCTGAAGCCCGCCCCCCACCCCCGTGGATTTTTCAAGGAGGGGGAGGAGCAACCGGAGCAACTGTTTGCGGAACAGCCCCAGACTCTCAGCGGCTCGAACGGTCGCCGCGAACGTAAAGAGCCGCATCCGACACACAGCTAAGTTGACGAGGGCGAATGCCGTCGAGCGACTGAGGGGTGAGGTGAGAGAAACTAACGGGCGCTTTCCTGACCTCAGTCGCCGCGGGCCAGGGCAGGCGAGGTCCTGTCAGGCGCGAAAGCTTCGGGTGGCGCATGCGACGCGCGCCAGAAACTCGCAAGCTCGTCGCTTTGCTGGCGTAAACAAGCCCGCCCTACATTCGCGCCAAAAAACCTGGGTGGGTCTGAGCGGCCGCGGGGGGTCACTTGACTTTCAATTTGGTGAACCCGCGCATGGCCTCGGCCCCCTCTGCGACGCCTGCTCATGCCGCGCGTCCCAGCTGCCCCTTTTCTGCTCGTCAATGGCTTGCGTGGCTGCCGCGAGATCGCCCTCCCACGAGCCGAGAAACTCCCGGCGCCCCTCGCGCCGATCGGCCTGGGGGCCCGGCGATGCATAACGTCTCGCCAGCGATGGGGCCCGAGAACGAGTGGCATCCAATCGAACGCTGCGCCCTTCACCAGGGCATGGGGTGGCGAGAATCTGCTGAACCTGAAGATGGCTGCCACTAAGCAGTTGATCAACGAGAGAGCGATCAATCAAATCAGAGTCTTCGAGGGCTCCCTGGAGTCTGAGGGGGGCCCAATAATTTCAGGGAGCTGCTGAACCAGACAAGTACATCCGCGTGGCTGCTGTCTCTCGTCAACGCAAATTGGTCTAACAAAATCTGAACCAACTAAGTTCGAGGAAACCTCGGCCCCCGCGCGCGCCTCGAGCTCGAGCTCAATGGCGCCCGCAAAATACCTCCAGGCGTCGGTCGACGACGCCCCGGCGCGAGCGAGAGGACCATTCAGCGCAGAATCTGCCGCATATTCAGCATCTGCTCGGGAGGCGCTCCAGTCCTGAGGCTGAGGGGTAGGTCCTATGGGTGGACTGGCGGGCGACTTCTGGTGGTGTCGATACATTCACTGATGGCTTTTGACAGCATCATCCTTTAACGCGATCACAACCGGGCGTCTGTGCGCCCATTGGACGTCCGCCTGGGTGCCGCTGCGCGCTCGAGTAAAACAGGCGCTCGCAAGAAGATAATCAATCGGGGTCAGGCTGCTAGGGGAGAGGCGCGTTTTCTGGCTCGGAACCGTCGAGGCCCACCGGTGCGAGAAACCACTCCCGAGGCTTCGACCAAACTGGGGTCGTGGTTCTAATCGCGGCCCGCCGCGAACATGCTTTCGCCTTCGAGCCTATCCCCATTGACACGGGGCAGCGAGCAATTTAGCCGGCGCGCGCCCGTGCCGCCTTTTTCCAACATGCACGAGGCACCTGGAAGATGGGGGCCAAGAGGGGGTGCCAACAATCGTATGGATCAGTCTTCCAGAGCACAGGATGCCATAGCCAGTCGCATGCCGTCTGCGGCCCAGGCGCTGGCGAACGAAAACGGCCACCCCCGCCCTGATGCGTCCTACCTCGCCAGGGAGAGAGACAAAACAAATTCTTCCACTCTGGGCCCCCCGCGGCCGAAACTATCCCCCCTCCTGCTCCTGCGTGAATCCGACATCCCGCGCTGAGAGGATACTCGACGACGCATGGCGCAATCTGCGGCGCAATCTCTCGCGGAGCGGCGTCCACGAATTGCCATTGTAGGTTTCAATACAAAAGCCCTAGCTCAATATCAGCATTGAGGTCGAGTCAGGCGAAGGAGATGGGAGGGTGGAGGCGGCGCAGGCGCTCCGAATTCATGCAGAGGTAGGCCGCGACAGCGGGAGACAGGGCGACCCCTGCCGCGTGGCCATGTCAATTATTCGAAGCGCGGGCGTAAACTTACCGCGGGCAGAATGCCTGCCTATGTCCCTGCTGAACTCAATGACGTCATCGACGAACTCGACATCAAACTCGCACGTTCCCTTGAGTCCTCCTGGGGGGTCAGAGCTCTTGGGGGGGCCCCACGTCAAGACGCGGGGCGGCGACACACCCCTCGGACATGCGTTTCGTCAACACGTCTGGCGGCGACACTCCATTCGTCAACACGTCTGGCGGCGACACTGGTTAAAGACATATCGTCTTTACGTGCACATCGGTCTTCACATTTTCGGGTCAATGTCAACTTTAGAACGCAATTTGAGGCACATCCCCCTGCTCAGCCTTGCCTAACCTACTTAAGCCACCCCCTGCAGCTCTGACCCCCCTGGGAAACTCAAGTATTCGTCGTCCGCCCTTCGTCTTTCGCCATTCGTCGTTCTTCGCCGATCATCGTTCGAAGCTCGCCCTTCATCGTTCGTCGCTCGTCGCTCGTCGTCGTCGTCACCCCCCGCTCGTCTCGAAACTGGACGTCTTATGTTCACGGATCGCTTTTCACACGGGATGTTGACAGATACTGCTGGTCCTAACCACTCCGACCCTATGTGAAATACAAAGGTGCAGCCCCGTGCCCCCACGTAACAGGAGCAGCACCGAGGAGCAGCAGCAGCAGGAGGATAAGCCAGAGACACGGCAGAGGTAGGAGTAGGAGGTGGAGGGGGCGGGGAAGAGTAGGGACAGGACTTGGGAGTAGCGGCGGGAATGGGAGGGGAGTCGGGACGGGAGTGGGATGGGGGAGTAGGGGCGGGAGTGGGAGGTGGAGGGAGGGTGGTGCTGGTGATCGGCGAGAGGAGCGGCGCAGATTTCTCCTCGCGCCGCCTGCGGGCCCCCTCGTTTTGTCGCCGCCTCCCCGCTGCAGCCTGCAGCGGCCCTGTCGCCACTCGCCCGCGGCAGGCCCTCTGGCCCAGCACGGGCAGTGGCCTAAGAGGCAGGCCTCAAAAGCGCCTGGAAGCCCTCCCCCGCAGGCTGGAAAACGCCTGGAAGGCCCGAGAGACCACCTCGCCCTGACAGCATATGTGTGTGTGGGTTGTCCTGCGTTTAGATTGTGTACGCTGTGCGTGTTCGGTCGCATTGTTGATGTTATTGTGTGTTGTTAGGGGCCGTGCGCTTAATTCAAGTTTCAATGATAGTTTAGGTTTATTGTGAGCTCACGCGTGTGTGTGTGTGCCCCATGCGTTACGTTGCTGGTGTATTCTTCGTGTCTGTGTGTACGGTTCGAGCCCAAGCACTATTTCTATGGCTTATCTCTCCCCCCATTCACCCCAAGGTGGCCCCAGCGAGGCCGTGAAAAGGCGAGAGCACCCTAATCGCGCTTCGCGCGCTTCAGGCTGTTGGCCTGCGGTGGGCCCGAAGCGCCACGCTTCGTGCCGCCGCTGCTCGTGCCAACCTCAGACTGCGGCTCCATCTTCACGTCGAGCTGGGGCTTCTGCTTGCTGGCCGTGGACTTGGCCTCCTGCTGCGCCACCTTAGCCTTGGCCTTGGGCGTCTGGCAGGCGCTCTTCTCGTCGCTCTTGCTGCCGCTGCCCGCCGCGCCGCCCTTAGCGCAGGCGGCGGCGGCGCCTGCCTCGAGGCTCTCCGCCGCGACCGACTCGAACTCCCTCCAGAAGCCGACGGGCACGTCCTGGTGCTTCTCGTTGCGGTACTTCGCGAGGTAGTCGCGGGCGCGCTGTGGGCCGTCTGGCGCCAAGCGCAACTCCCCGAGCATCTCCGCGCCCTTGATCATGCTCACCACCTGCCGCGCCTTCGCCTGCATGGCTGATGCAAGGGGCACGGCGCATCTCACTAGACACGCCAGTCGAGCTTATGCCAACGCCGTCATCGCCATCATCGTCGTCGTCGTCATCGTCGTCGTCACCGTCGTCGTCATCGTCGTCGTCATCGTCATCGTCATCGTCACCACTATCGCCATCGTCAGCGTCATCGTCAGCGTAATCGTCTTACATCATCCTCGTCATCGCCATCGTCATCTTCATCGTCAGCGTAGGCACAAGTCGACTGGCGATCCAGATAATGCACGGCTAACCCTTTGAAAGCCAGTGGCCAAACACGCCAAGGCAGTTGCCACGCTGGTCGCCGTGGCGTCGTGTTCCGCGACGGGCGGGGTCACGTCCATCATCCTCGCAGCCCTGATTAACCAGCTCATCGTCTTGTGCACCCTGTTGTAAGCGGCCACCACCGTGGGCTCGTCGCTGAAGATCTTCACGGCTATCTTCTCCACGTAGTTTCCGTTCCCGTCGATCGCAGAGTTGATATCTGGGAGCACGGCCTTGCATGAGTCGACGTGCGTCTGCAATATATTCGCCATCGTCTGCAGCATAGTGAGCTTCGCGCGGCCTGTAAAGACTGCGACCCCCTTGAGCCACTGCCTGAGGCTCGGAGGGTTGATGCTGCACACCCAGCCCGCCTTCTCGAAGTCGTGGAGCTCCGTCGAGTTCAAGAGCTCGTCCAAACGAAGCAACAGTCTGTGCATCATGCGGTGCGCGTGGACGTGGGCGCCGAAGACCTCCTCGTCGGTCGGCTTTAGCTTCTTGAGGTCTGAATGCACCTTCGCCGCGCAGCCAGCAACGTCCTTGACCTGCGCAATCATGTCCAAGTATACCTTCGCACTCTTCACTGGCATGCGCTCCACCTGACCGTTGCGAGTGGCGTTGGGGATCTGGATAGACTCAAGGCTGCCCGCTTCCATGAAAGATGCTAAATCTGACAAGGCTTTGTTGTAAGAAAGCTTCCCAATAGCTGTGTCATCCTCCGCTTCTCCGTCAATCCAATAGACGCTGTCCAGCAGCAGATCCTTGGGCTCGCAGCCGACGAAAAGCCTACCGAATGCGTCGGCGAAAGGGACCTCCTTCATGACGACCTCGCTGACGTCGCCCAGGGTGTAGCTGAGGCCTGGGGATATCTCCGCGAGCTTCCCGTCGACGAAGCAGTCGGCGCAATCCGTGTATACACGCATGCCTTGACGGGAAGCCCTCCGCTAAAGGCACCCCGTCGCCGCCCCAGCGAACCAAAAACCAACATCAAAAAATACAAAAATCGGTGTTTTTTTTTCCGGGCGTTGTTTGCTTTCGGGGCTGGGGAGGCGGGGCGTTTTTTCTGTGGAGGGCTTCCCGTCTTGCCTCTGGTCTCGACGAACTGCTTGAACTGATCTGACACCTCACGCACGATATCCATGCTGGTCGCTAAGCTCTCGACCCCCCGAAAGTCGAACATCGCCTGGTGCGCGGAGTGCAGCGCGCCCGCGCACTTCACGATGGTGTCCGTGAACGCCTCGAGCTCGTCCTGGGTCTGCGGCTGCCGCTGCTTCGCCTGCGCGAGCGCGACGCAGTACTTCACGATGGCTATCATGTCCTTCAGCTGGCCACTGGTGTGCTGGAGCTCCGATCCGAAGGTGCACGGATTGAGCACGTACTCTTTCGGGATATGGTCGTCCATGGCGTCGCCTACGCGCTTGTGCAACTGAAGCACGCACTTTTTCCACCTCTCGCTCATGGAGTGCAAGGTGTGCGTGAACGTCTCAAGGGTGGACTCCACCTGCGCAGCAACCGTGGAGAAGTTCTCGATTATCTCGTTCGGATCTTGCTTGATCGTCTCCGCAGCGTCGGTGGTTCCACCGCCCTCGGCACCCTCTGCGCTGCCTGCTGCTGGGCCTGGCATCTCAACCCCATGATAAACTGCAACAATAGCATCCCCAATGTCTGGCACGAGCTTCCCAAGGCTCGCAGCGTAGATGTCCACCATCATGTACTTGCCGACCTTGAGTATGGTCATTGCGTTGTTGATGTTGTCCCCGAAGAAAGTGAGGTTCGAGTGCGCCGATGCCGCCGACCACTTCGTGACCGCCGAGTGCGCGCTGGTGAAGAAGACGCCCAGGGTGGCAAACAGATTGTTGATTACAGCATAGCCTGACTTCTGAGATTCATCACGCATCTTTTGAACCCATTGCACCATGCCGTCGAAGCACTCCGCGAAATTCAGCTCGAACTTCTTCGACGCCTGGTCGAATGCAGATGTCGCCGTGTCGTCCTCGATGCTCTGAGCCACGTGAAGCCGACTAGCCTCCATGAGCGCCTTGCCCACAGGATATGCCTGCATCGTGCGCGCGAGCTCCGAAGCTGGGGAGCTCGGCTGCCTCACCAAGTCCAGGATCACCCTCCTCGCCTGCCGCACTTGGGCAGTCGGGGGCCTGGCAGACTCGACGACGTTGACGCACCTCGCGACCACGGCGACGCTGTGCAGCACCTCCAAGGCGAAAATGCCCCGACTCATCCGTAGCATCTGGAATCCAAAACTTGATTTTCACCCTGCCTGAGGGTATCCAAAACTCGATTTTAACCCGGCCTGGAGATATCAAAAAGAAAATCGTCTTATCTGTTTTTGTTGGTTTTTTCAACGGCCCTCCCATGGAAAACGAAAGCTCTGGATGGTCAGAGGCTTTTTTGCCACGCGGTACCTCAGAGAAGGTATCGTCCTCCGACTCGGTCCTCATGATGAGCTCCTTCTTCCTCCAGTTGTTGAGGACCACCTCGATCTCGACCATGAGGTCGTAGGCCTGGACCTCGTTCTTCACGATGCTTTCGGGCAGGTCGGACAGCCACGTCTGCATGGACTCAGACACCATGGCCGCGAAGTGGAAGACGGGGGTCTGGCCGACGACTGCTCGAGCCCTGAGCGCCTGACCAATTTTCTTCGCAGCCGCCGCGGCCTTGTCTGCAGCCGAAGCGCTTTTGCCCGTCTTCGGCTTACCCTTCACGGCCTCCTTAGTAGGCTCAGCTGGCTGCGCTCCCTGGTCCTCAGGCGGGTCGAGCTCCGTCATTTTGCTCAGGAGGCTGAAGATGCTGACGTCGAACTTATCGATGGCGTCGGCGAGCGATTCCAAATTTAGCGCCATCCCCTGGAATGTGGCATATAGCATGACGATGTTGAGCTCCTCTGACATGCGCCTGCCAGTGTGCATCATGTAGGCAATCACGACGGAAAACGGTTCGAGGGTCTCCTGTAAGAGTTTGTTTACTTGGGCATCAAGCCATGCTTTCACAGACTTGTGGAGGGAGATCAAAGAGGAGACGCGGTTGTCCAACTGGTGGTACGCCACCTGGATGTCGAATTGGACTTTGCCCTCGATTTTATCTTTATGCTTCGTCAGGCGCCTGTGCAAGGCGTGAAGGGTGCCGAGCACGAACTCCTCGTACCACTTCGGGTTGGCCGTCTCATCCAAGTACCCGTTGATGGTCTGCCTGATCTTGGCCACTGGCGCCAACGTTGACGACGTCGGCCACTTCTGCGCCAATGAATATACATTGACGCCCTTCTTCTTAGTGAACTCCAACACAGAGTCGCCGTCTTCGACCTCGGTCGCCAACGCGTCTTGGCCTTCCTGATCTTCGTGATGACCACCTGCATCGGAGGCAGCATCGGCATCCTCATCATCAGCTCCTCCATCTGCTGAATCCTGAACTGGCTGTGCCATGCTCTCGTCCTCTGGCGGGAACGGCGGCTTAACGCGCGTGTACTTCATCATCTCGCAGGTCTTGGTGTAGAAAGACGTGCAGACCATCTGCAGTTCCTTCGCCTTGGGGTCCTCCTCCTCCTCCTCCTCTTCCTCCTCCTCATCAGCAGCAGGCACCTGCGCGTCGGCCTCAGGGTGCTCAGAGTTCTCGGGAAGGGCCCCCTCCACCTTTACGTCGCCGATCGTTTGCTCCAACTTGACGGGCTGGGCGAGGGGGCCCATGGGGAACGACAGGGGCTGGGCGACGGCAGGCTGGAACTGCGCCCTGCCGTTGCCAAGGCACCTGTTGACGGGCGCCGCAGGCATCTCGGGGCACGAGAGAAGGTCCTCGATGTCGGGCAACTCGCCGCCAAGCACCTGCCCGTCGCGAGATCCGTTGGCCTGAGAAGGCTCTTGGAGCCCAGTCGCAGGGCCACTCGCCATGGCCCAGGCTTCGTAGGGGGTTACGATGCAAAAGCAAAGCTGCGCCCAAACAAATGGAAGGGGCAGAAGACCTGAGCCCCAGATCGGTCACAGGAGAGAAACGCCAGAGAAGCAATCCAAGTAATATGTTCCGAAGTAGATCTATATGTGGTATAATGAGCAAATGCCAAAATGTTTTTGCCAGGAGAACCTGTGTTCCCGATCTCGGGAAGTCCGGAGCTCCAGAGCTCCCGATCTCGGGAAGTCCGGAGCTCCGGAGCTCGGGAAGTCCCGATCTCGGGAAAATGTAAAGCGACAAAAAGTCACAAAGACCGCCCAGCGGTCTGGCCCGTAAAACTATTAGGGGGGGGGGGGATGATACGACGCCCAATAGCGGTTCAAAGGAGCACGTATCCCCCAATTGTTTGCTTTAGGGCATAGGGCACGGGGCCCAAGACTCAGAGCGCGGCTGTCATCACCGACGAAAGGGATAACACGCAGGACCCCGTTGCTACATGCTCACGGCCCAAGGCTTACAAGTACGCGCTGGATCTCCAGACCAAGAGCTACAAGAGTGCGTGCGTGCGTGCGTGTGAGTGCGCGTGGGTGTGCGTCTGTGCGCGTGTGAGTGCGTGAGGCGCTTCGGTATGTGCGTGTGAATGTATGTGTGCGCGTGTGTGCGTGTGAGATGTATGTTGTCAGTGCGTGTGTTCGTGTATGCGTGTAGGTCTGTTCGCGTGTATGCGAGTGTGAAGTAATGTGTAAGTGCGTGCGTGTGCGCATGTGTGTAGGTGTGTTTGTGCGCGTGAGGCTGTTAAACAGCTTTTCTTTTTTTGTATTTTGTGTCATTTATTTCACGCGGTTTGCGCGCGCGTTTTGCGCACCCGCGGGCGGGCGCGCGCGCCTGTGAAAGGGAAACGCGATGATCGTGATGGCGACGGTGGCGATGATAACGATGGCGATGATGGTGATGATGGCGATGCGCCCCCAGAGCGCAATTGCGTCCGCGCGCGGACTCAGCCATATGCAGCTGTGAGAACCCCATTCGTAAACCCCGTCCTCGGTGGAACTCCCTATGGCCCTATGGCCTCTGGCCCTATGGCCTATGGGGCCACGAAAAGTGTAAGGGGTGTGCCGAAATTTGTGAGGGGGCGGCATGCGGGCGCAGCCACAGGGGCCTGCGGTGGGGCCCCCTATGGCCCATTTCCTACGGGGCCACGAAGCGCGTGAGGGTGTGCCGAAATGGGTGTAGGGGCGGCATGCGGGCGCAGCCACTAGGGCCTTCGGTGGAGCTCCCTATGGGGCCACGAAGCGTGTGAGGGGTGTGCCAAAATCGATGTGGGGGCGGCATGCGGGCGCAGCCACTGGGGCCTTCGGTGGACCTCCCGATGGGGCCACGAAGCGCGCGAGGGTTTGCCGAAATGGGTGTAGGGGCGGCATGCGGGCGAAGCCACTGGGGCCTTCGGTGGAGCACGAAGCGTGTGAGGGGCGTGCCGAGATGAGCGTGGGGGCAGCATGCGGGCGTAGCCACTGGGGCCATCAGTGGAGCTCCCTATGCCCTATGGCTGGGCCGCGAAGCGTGTGAGGGGTGTGCCGAAATCGGTGTGTGTGTGTGGCATGCGGGCGCAGCCACTGGGGCCCTCTCTGGAGCTCTCTATAGCACTATGCCTCACAGAATTCTCAGCGCGCGCGAGAGGAGTTCTGCGTTGCCCACGACAAATTCCATGCACACAAACTGTGCAAATTCAAAATCCGATCGGTCACCGTTTAGGGGTTCACCTTAGTTGCCAGACCCACATGGCGACTTTCCGATTATGGACAGTACAGAATTCCTCTCGCGCGCTTGATATGATCTCTGTGTTGCCCCTGCCAGAATCCACGCACACAAAGCCATCTTAACTCCAAAATCCGATCGGCCACCGCTAAGGGCCAACTTTAGTCTCGAAGCCAACATGGCCACTTCTTCGAATGTGGACCATACAAAACCCTCAGCACGCGCGCGAGGAGTTCTGAGTTGCCCATAACAGATGCAACGCGCACAAAACCATCTTAACATCAAGACCAGGTCGGCCACCGTTAAGGGGCCACTTTAGCTTCGAAACCAACGTGGTGACCGTCCGATTGTGGACAATGCGGAACTCTCAGCGCGAGCGCGAGAGGAGTTCTGCGTTGCCCACAACAGGTTCCATGCACACAAACCAGTGAAAACTTCACAATCCGATCTGTAACCGTTAAGGATTCACTTTGCTTCCCAAGCCAACATGGCGACTTTCCCATTGTGGACAACGCAGAACTCTCAGCGCGCGCCAGACGAGTCCTGCGTTGACCATAACAGCTTCAATGCACACAAGCCCATGTTAAAAAATCCGATCGGCCACATATTCGAATTAATTATAGTTTCCAGGCCGACATGGCGACATTCCGACTGTGGACCATACAGAACTCCTCTCGCACGCGCGCGACAGGAGTACTGCGTTGCCCATCGCAGATTCCATGCGCACAAACCCACGTTAACCTCAACCTACATAGGGCATTGTCAAGGGTGTAATTCAGCTTCCAGGCCAACATGGCGACTTTCCGATTGTGGGCAACACAGACAACCTCTCGCGAGAGCGCGAGGGGAGTTCTGCGTTGCCCATATCGACACATTCCATGCATACAGACCCATGTGAACTTCAAAATTCCGATCGGCCACGGTTGAGGGTTCACTTTAGTCTCCAGACCAGCACTGCGACTTTCCAACTGTGGACAACACAGAACTCCTCGCGCGCGCGAGGGATGTGTTCTGTGTTGCCCATGACAAGTTCCATGCACAAAGACCCGCGTCAACTTCAGAATCCCATGGGCCACCGTTGAGGGCCAATGTAATTTCCAAGCCAACATGGCGACTTTCCCATTGTGGACAATACAGAGCTCTCAGCGCACGCGAGAGGAGTTCTGCGTTGCACATAAAACAGGTCCCATGCACACTGACCCAGCGTAACTTCAAAACCCGATCGGTTACCAATGGGGGGTCACTGTAGTTCACATGCCAAAGTGGCGACTTTCCGATTCTGACCATTCAGAACTCGCAGCGCGCGCGACAGGAGACTGCGTTGCCCATAGTCAATGCGCACAAAACCCATGGTAATTTAAAAATCCGATCGGCCACTGCTTCAAATTCATGTTAACTTCCATGCCAGCATTGCGACTTTCGGATTGTGGACAATACAAAGCTCCTCTCGCGCGCGGGCGCTCGAGATGATTTCTGCGTTGCCCATGGCAGATTACGCGCGCGCAACCCAGCGTTAACTTCAAAATGGGGTCGGCCACCGTTCAAGGTTCTCTTTAGTTTTCAGGCCAGCACGGCGACTTTCCAATTGTGGACAATGCAGACTTCTCAGCGCGCGCGCGCGCGGGGCCTTCTGTTTGGTTCACAATGGAAAAGTCAGCGCGTCCGTCGGCCTCTTTAACGGGCCACAGAAAATATGAATTCAGTTTTGGAATCACATGTCGGCTTTTCTGGTCGGGGCAATGCCGAACTCATGGCTGCGCGCCGAACGCGCGGCCAAGCGACTCTCATGACATGAACCATCGTAGCTATGACCCCATAGGTCACGGCCGAGGGCCCACTTCAGTGCTGAGGCCGACGTGGCGATTTCTCGCCGTGGACATTGCAGCAATCGCTGCGCTGCGCTCGCGCATCATAGGCGCGTCGCGCGCTGACCCCCTTGGTCAGCACTTGGCGGCCCTGACTTCACTTGGAAATGCATGCGGCAACCGCTGAGGGCGCGCTTTAATTCCCATGCCAACATGCAGGTGCACGGGGCGCGCGCGCGCGCGCCACAATCCACCGCGCCCCAGAGGCTGGCGCAAAAGATTCGCTAAACCCGCGGTAAATTGAACGCCCGACTGCCCTTTCGCAGCGCTCGCGCTTCATGTTCCAGAGCAGCATTCCATCATTGCTACGCTGGGCGACGCATAGGTCGAAGCGGGGGTGCGCGCGCGAATGTTCGAGCGCCGCGGCCTTCGCTACAGGCGCTTCGCGACCGCCCCTTGAGAAGAGCAGGCGCGCCGCGCGGTTTGACCCCCGCGCGCGAGCGCGACATCGGGCGCGCGGGCGCATGGTGCTCGGCCGACGCTCGGCGAGGTGCCCCAGGTAGCTCACCCCCCGCGATGCCAGCGGGGGTGAGTGGCCCTGCCCATCTCGCATCAGCGAGGCTGAGTCACCCGCCCGATACCGAGCGAGTCGGTCGAGTAACTCACTCGGGACGAAACGCGCGGCGGCGATACTCCGCTTGGCGGCGGCATATGCCTGGCCGAGAGACGCGCCGAAGCAACCGCTATGGCCAGCGAAAGGGGCATAGTCAACTCGCGTAGTCAAGGGCAGAGGCCAGCGAAAGGGGCATAGTCAACTCGCGTAGTCAAAGGCAGAGGCCAGCGAAAGGGGCATAGTCAACACGCGTAGTCAACACGCGGAGGTAGTCAACTCGCGTAGTCGACTCGCGTAGTCAAGCGACGTAGCCAAGCGACGTAGGCAAGCGACGTAGTCAACCGACGTAGCCAAGCGACGTAGGACAGCGACGCGGGGAGGCGACAACGAGATAGTCAACTCGACCAGTGAGCTCAAGCCCGTGGCAACTTGTGAAGCAACTACAGCAGGGCCGAGTAGATTCGGCCGAGCGGCTCCGAAAGCTTCGGCAACTCCTGCGCCTGCGCTGACGCCGACGCCACCCCCCAAGCAACTGCTGCGCCTTCGCCGACGCCGACGCAGATGGTTTCACTTGCATTCTGGGCCTCAACATGAGGCGATGCAGTGCCACTCAATGCGCTTCCCATGCGGCGCAAGCGCAACGGGCGACCCACGAGCTGACGGGCCACCAGAAAACAAATTTAGAAAAACCAATTGTTTCACTTGCAGTCTGGGCCTCAACATGAGGCGTTGCATTGCCACCCAATGCCTTTTCCATGCGGCGCAAGCGCACCAGGTGACCCACGAAGGGGTGGGTCACCAGAAAACTGGTTGAGGAAACAAATTGTTT